TGCTTGCTGCTGGTCTGGGGAAACTACCCCCTACACACACACACACACACACACACACACACACACACACACACACACTGGAATTGGGTACCGGAACCTCCCCCAAACAACCCAGTCAATAAATACTACCTGAATCCATGGATGAATACCTCTATTCCTAGCCTTCAGCTATTTCTTCTGCCCAGAAGCCCCTTCTCCACCTGCCCCATGGCTAATGCCCACTTGTCCTTCAAGATGCAGTGCTAGCTACGACAAGATCATATAACATACATGTCCATTATATTATTAATTACACACATCATATTATTAATCAAACGTTATGTTCTTTTCCTATCAGACTCTAAACTCCCTGAGGACAAGGAAATTACCATCACTTGTCTCCTATATACCCAGTAAAAACTTGGCACAAAAAAGAGTGCTTAATACATTTTTGATGAATGATACCGAAAGAGAGTGTCTTGACATGGTTCTCCAGGGCTGGGAAGTAGGTTCAAAAATGTTCTTTCATGGCAGCCCAGAGACTTGAGAACATCTAATTTTCTATATAGTAAGACTATTAGTTATAGCACTAACCATTGATTAGTTACAACATTTAGTAGAGAGATTACAAAGGCTACTTTAAAAATCTTTTTTTTAGGGGCGCCTGGGTGGCGCAGTCGGTTAAGCGTCCGACTTCAGCCAGGTCACGACCTCGCAGTCCGTGAGTTCGAGCCCCGCGTCAGGCTCTGGGCTGATGGCTCGGAGCCTGGAGCCTGTTTCCGATTCTGTGTCTCCCTCTCTCTCTGCCCCTCCCCCGTTCATGCTCTGTCTCTCTCTGTCCCCAAAAAAATAAATAAACGTTGAAAAAAAAAATAATAAATAAATAAATAAATAAATAAATAAATAAATAAATAAAAAGAGGAAGACACAAGAGATCCCTCACTCTGTATGTATGCACCAAGGAAAGGCCACGCGAGGACATAGCCAGGAAGAGGGCCCTCGCCAAGAACCTGACCATGTTGGTACCTCGATCTTGGACTTCCTGCCTCCAGAACCATAAGAAATAAACGTTAGCTGCTGCCACCACCCCGTCTATGGTAATTTGTATGTAGCAACTGGAACTAAGACATGGTTTATAAGCACCCTATGAGTGGGGTATCATCGGCCCCATCTAATTAATAAGGAAGTTGACATTCAGAGAAAGAAGGAGGCGTGGCCTTGGTCATAGTTCCAGTGCGGAGGCGGGAACCAACCTGGGTCTGGCTGGTGTCAAACTTCAGGTTTCTCCTCTGTTCTCTGTCATTTCTGTAGTGCCCCCCGCTCCCATAAACAAGGATCAACACATCGCATCGATCCCTTTGTAAGAAAGCCTTCCTTAAGCACTGTGATAACACTTCAATTCATCTCAAATCCATGGCTGAATCAATGCGTCCAAGCTGAGGGTGATGCCCAGACGTCAGGGACACTCTGCCTTCCTGGTGAAGAGTTTAATGTCTAGGAGCAATGTCAGACTCCTAGTCTATAAAATCCCTCTGGTTGTCTTAGAATTATCACACTATTACCACTTCTCTCCTAAAGAAACTGCCCTGGGGGTGCCTGGGGGGCTCAGTCGGTTGAGTGGCCGACCTCGGCTCAGGTCATGATCTCACGGTTCGTGGGTTCGAGTCCCGCGTCGGGCTCTGTGCTGACAGCTCAGAGCCTGGAGCCTGCTTCGGATTCTGTGTCTCTTTCTCTCTGCCCCTCCCTCTGCTTGCAGTCTGCCTCTCCCTCTCTCAAAAATAAATAAACATTTTTTTTAATTAAAAAAAAAAAGAAAAGAAACTGCCCTTACCAGGGAAGTTGACTTGGTCTCTTTCAATTAATCATTTTAGAATTCTAAAATCTATTCAGATCTAAAACATTAATGGTTTGCTCCGCGTTGACACAGTTTCAGATGCACAACGAGGCGAGCTGTGCGCCCTTGCCAGGAAAAACCCAACAACACCTAGGTGACTATCACGTAGGCCGAGTGAAATCACATGACATATGGGAAGGCCACACGTACCGACGGTCCTGACAAAGTTATAGGGCCAGAAAGGGAATGTGAGCAACACAGTTGTAATGACTGGTAATGACTGTGGGTGGAAAATTTCTTCCATTTCTCAATCTGATAAGCTTGGCTTACAAAAATCAGAAGTTTCAGAAGCAGACAACGCCAACATCAAAGGCCGGTTATGCCACTTACTAGGGGAGGGACTCTGGCTAAATTACTTCTCTGAGCCTTAGCGTTCTTATACGCAAAAGTTGGGCCAATAATATTTACACAGAAGGGGATTTGATAGGATTTAAGCCATCTGACCTAGATCCTGGCAGGGTACAGGCATACGGAGGTGGTGCCCCTTTGATCATTATGCTCTGCACCCACTGGGTCTCCACGGCCAGCAATTGTGTCCCCCTCCAAGAGACACTTGGCAACATCTGAAGACATGTTTGCTTGTCGTAACTGGGAGGGGATATGCTCTTGGCATCTAGCAAGTAAGGGTCGGTGATGCTGCTAAATAAACATCGTGCCACACAGAACACGGTCCCCAGAATGAATTTTCTGTCCCCAGATTTCAACAGGGCCAAGGTTGAACCACCCTGCTGTGTCCCCATTGCATGGCAGGGACTCTCTTTCAAGCGGGGACCTGGCGACACTTACAGTGAGTGTGGCTGAAAGCTCCAGCAGAAACGGTCGTCCTGCCCCTGGGACATGGGACACAGGCCACGCTGCCTGCCTGTTCTTGGTAGAATCCGACGGGACAGGGGATGCAGATCTCCTCCTGAAAGTAACTTCCCTCAGGACACTTGACTGGAAGAGAGAAACAGAGAAATGATGTTAAAGAAAAGATTCTGGGGGCGCCTGGGGGGCTCAGTCGGTTGAGCGTCCAACCTCAGCTTAGGTCATGATCTCACGGTTTGTGGGTCCCAGCCCCGCGTCGGGCTCTGTGCCGGCAGCTCAGAGCTTGGATCCTGCTTCAGATTCTGTCTCCCTCTCTCTCTGCCCCTCCCCCACTCACACTCTGTCTCTCAAAAATAAAATCAAAATGTTAAAAAAACTTTTTAAGGAAACAAAGAAGAGATTCTGTGTGCACCTCGGAGCACACAGGCCATGTGAAATCCCAGCAGCAGGACAAAAGCTCACTCACTGAACAAGTGCCCAGTGAGAATCTGCAATGTGTCAGACCCTCAGAGTCGAGGGTAAGCTGTGGGAAGGGTAGACGAGGCTCCGGCCCTTCAGGAGCTGACGGGCTAGTAGGATAAGAGGCTGTCCGACGAGAACTTCAAATGTGGGTAAAGCGAGGCAGGAGAGGAGTGTACGTCAGTGAGGAAGGCCCTCTGAGAGGTGATGCTTGACACCAAATGATGGGGAGCACCCTGGGCAAAGAGCCAAAGAGTATTCAAAGCAGAGATGACAGCAAGTGCAAAAGTCCTGAGGCAGGAGTGAGTTCGGATTAGTCAAGGAACAGAACGAAAACAGCCAGACAAAGCCAGCTACTAAGCTAGACCTTAGCAGACAAAGGGAAGACTGGCCTGAGACGAGGTTTGGGAACAACTTGAAAGATGAGGGTCCATCCCTCAGTTGCCATGGGAACGCTGCCCTAACTGGAGGGCATGGTGGGGTGCAGCCTGGGGTGCAAGCTTGGGGGTTAGAAGGATTGGCTCAGGTCCCTCTCCCCGCGATACCTAAATGACTATGGACTTCCCGGAGGCTCCATTTTCTCCTCTGTGAAAGGTATTAATAATACGATCCCGTCGGAATGTAATGATGATCATAATGCCAGACTCATATACACTCAACAAATGGTCGCTATTTTGTTTTTCATTTTTAATTCCAGTGAGTTCACCTACAGTGTTATATTAGTTGCAGACGTACGATCTGCTGATTCAGCACGTCCCTGCATCACCTGGGGCTCATCATGGCATGTGCATTCCTTGATCCCCATCAACAATCTCCCCCACTCTCCCACCCATCATTATTTTTATACTCGAGGGAGTCCTTCCTTGACATCGGCCAGCCTCAATATCCACGCTGTCCAAACAGGGCAATTTCAACAATTCAGCACCCTCTCATTAGACTCATGCGGCCTCTCCCCGCCGGTTGGTCATCGATGGTGTTGCTCAGATCTGGGACCACGGTGAGGTGAGACCCCCAGGGCACAGGGTTCACGGAGGCCCTCGCTGTCGGGTTGCGGGGTTTCTGATTTACTCAGAAATACCAAGTATGACCCTGAGAGGGAGGCCTCCGTACATCACGCCCCCTGGAGGCCTCACTGGCCTCGTTCCTCGCCTCCCTGTTGTGCTACCCTGTTAATCTGCAGATTCTCAGTGCTCTCTGCCCCCTCTGATTCTCACATTTCTAGTCCTTTCTCATCTGTTCCTCTACTACGATCTGGGCTGAGGAACCAGAAACCCCAACTAGAGAGACGCATATCTCCCAAGAGTTGTTAGGGTCCGGGAGCTCTAGCTTAGGAAAATGCATAAGTTTGGCCACACTGATACTGATGGCTCAGAGAAGGGGTGGGGAGAAAAGAGGTTCTTGTTGCTTTCTTTCTTGGTTCTGGGCTGTGTTCCCAGGAGTTTGCCAAATGACTTCCAGAAGAAGCGAGCTGTTACCCAGTGAAGGCGAGAGCCGGAAGCCTGTCTGCTCTTGGGACCCCTTCCCTGGGCCCGGCACTCTGCTGTGGGCTTCATGGCCATAACCACAGCACACCCGTGAGTCGGTGTTTTACCCTCATGTCGCAGATGAGGAAGCTGAGCCTCGGGACATTCGTGCATGACTCCCTGGCATGCTTCATGCGAAGGGCTGTGGGGAGGTAAAATTACACGTCACACCAAGCGTGGTGCCACGATCCTCTAAGAAAGGTACCATCCTCTGTCTAGACTGGAAAAAACGGAAGCTCAAGGTCAAAGTGGGCCGGGCGATAAGGTGAAAGAGGTGCATTTGAGCCCCCTTCCCTAAAAACCAAAGCCTTCTCTCCATCCGCCAGTTCGAGCACCTTCCCTCCACAAAAAAAGTGAGCGCGAACGTGTGGGACGTGGAGCCAATGTTGACTCAACCGCCATCTCTCTCTCACGCACACACGCCCGGCACGTCTGACTAAATCGGAAACTCAGGGCACATCTTGGAAACCGAACGGTGTGTTTTCCGGTCTGCCCCTGAGCAATTAACCCCCTCCCCCAGACAGTGGGGTTTCATTACTCCTATGAGTCAGGTCCCTGATCATCTCGAGTATTTTAAGCCGAGGACGCGGACTATTTTTTCAAGTGGTCTCCGAATTCATCGCTAAGGGAAAACAAAGCCTCTTCCACCGGTTCCAGCTGCCGGGCCTCCCAACCCGAGGGGTGGGTGGGGGGCAGCAGGAGAGAGCGGGGACTCACTTTCATTGTAAGCTCAGCCACTTGCAGGCCTCACGACGATGCTCGAGGAACCCGCGTCCTGCTTCTCTCTGCCTGTGCCGTCAAAGCCTTTCCACCCACGGGAACGCCGTGCTCAGGTCAGAGTGAGGCTCGATAGCCTCCCCTCTCCCCCGGCAGGCGTGGGCTCTCCAAGACCCCTCCGTCCACAGCAACAAGTTGGCACCCATCTTTCAATTAACTCCCTCCACGAAATCGTCAGAAACTCCTTTGGTCTCGGTGCCCTCCTTCATAAGAGGAGACAGTCTGGCCTATTGGAATTCGAGGGCTTCACCAAGCTTCCGGGTCAGGCCATCCCTCCAATCACCCTGTCCCCATGGGCCCCCAACCATGACAGCCATGCCTCTGCTGACGAAAAGTATCCGCGAGGAAGTGTAACAGCCCTTCACGCCCTCAGCTCGCTCCGCTCCACCCCGCGCCTGGCCCTGTCACTCTCCGGCCTGGAATTCTCCCCCGGCACCCCCAGCAGGCCACCCCTGGCCGGCCCTGGCCTCTCCCTCCCTGGCTCCTGCCTCTCTCTCTGAGAGCCGCCATATCCCCACACACCCCACTCTCCAGCCATACAGACCACCGACTCTGTCATCATTCGGCCACAGCTTCGTGACTCCTTGCGCTAACCTCCACTTCCAGAATGCCCTTCCGCACGGTAGCACCCTCAGCACACAGGCACACACATGCACACGCATGCACACACAGACGCGTGCACACCCCACTCCTTGCCTGCTCTTCCCTGAGCAGCGATTCCGACGCACCTGGCATCTCAGCGAGCCTTCCCTGACCCGCCCGGACAGGGATGGAGAAGCCTTTCTCACTGACACCTAGCTGGCTTTTCATTTCTCTCTCCCCACCTAGATTGTCAGTTCATTGAGAGTGGAGTTCTGGCCTTTGCTTCCATGACTACGAAACCCGGGGCTTAACACCTAGGTATGCTTTGAAAGCTTCGATGGATGGATACCATAGATGGGAAGAAGGCAGGAAGAGGGAAGAAGGGAAGAGGAAGGAAACAAGACGTAACATGTTACTTCGGGGGGAAAAAACACCCATAGAGAAGGAGCTCTGTTCGAAGGACTTGTAGTGAATGAAAGTTAATGTGGTCCAGAATGGAGAACGGAAAACCTGGACAATTTCTCTGACATTCTCCTTACTGGACCAAACGGGTATGGAAGTTGCCAGCAGGTAATTCTGAAGGGAAGCCGCGTGGTTGGCCTTGAGGCAAGAGGGGGGACATAACCGACCCTGTCGAAGCTGCAAACAGAGCCCAGGCCTCCTCTGCAGGATTTGTTCCCGGGGTAAGAGCCGCCAGGCCTGCGTGAGTCACAGGAGGTGGATGCTCCCCACCCTCAGCCCCCACCAGCCCCCAGTCACTGCCCTCCGAGGGGATCATGCAGATTAGCCTTCCCCGGAAACGATACACAGAAACCCTGCTTCATCTCCCCAGGACAATGCTCTGCTTGTAGCCCCACAGCTGTGTCCCAGATGTGCTTCAGAAGGAGAAAGGGCCAGTTAAAGGAGCTGCAAGGACCCAAGGGCATGATTTCACGAAGAACCCCCTTGTTGAGAAGACAGCAGTGTGAGGCAGGGGACGAAGAATCAGGAATCAGGAGAGCTGGGTTCGGATCCCAGTGTGGTCAACGAAAAAGGCCATTCGTTGAGAGGCCACCAGGTAGGAAGAGGCGCACTGACTGCATCATGCCAGGCAAACCACAACCCCCAGGAAACAGGTGTTATCATCCCTCTTCTTCAGAGGATGCCTCATGAGGGTAAGTGATGTCTCAAGAACCCACACAGAGAAAGTGTCGGAGCAAGGACTCGAACCCAGCTCCACCTGACGTCAAAGAGCAGTCTCCCAATACTCCTAACTCTATGCGGCTGGCTGCCTCATCCAGACAATGGGATTGATAGTACCTGGCCCTCTAGACCGGAGAAACCCAATGAGGCCCCAGCATGTATTAGAAGTTCAATAACAAATAGATATTGTCATCAGTACGGGAGAAAATCCAGGGCTCCCAGGGCTGGATTTTCGTGAATTCCATTCCAGACCTTTCTAACTATTTGGAGTAAGGAGGTAGGGCTGCATGGCATGATCGACAATTCTTCTGAGTCACGAAAAGCTACAGCAGCTGAGAAACAGAATGTAGGTTTATCTAAAGTTAGGATTGGCAACCTGTAGCCCGTGGGCCAAATTCGGCTCACCTTTCTGCATAGCAAATAAAGTTTTATTAGAATAGAGCCACGCGGGGTGCCTGGGTGACTCAGTCGGATGAGCGTCCAACTTCGGCTCAGGTCATGATCTCGTGGCTCGTGAGTTCGAGCCCCATTATCAGCCTCTGTGCTGACAGCTCAGAACCTGGAGCCTGCTTTGGATTCTGGGTCTCCCCCTCTCTCTGTCCCTCCCCTGCTTGCCCTCTGTCTTGCTCTCTCTCAAAAATAAATAAAAACATTAAAAAAAATTTTAATAAAAAATAATTAAAAAAGGAATACAGCCATGCTTTTCTCCCTACAATGGATGAGTTAAGTCATCGAGACAAAAGCCATAGGGTCTGCGAAGCCTAAAATACTTGCATTCCGGCCCTTTATAGAAGAAACTGGCCAACTCCTGTCTTGCAGCAAATGTAGCCCAGAAGAACCTGTCATTCAGTCGAATTTCCAGGCCACCCTGTGGTTCCCAGTCTCTCTGAAGCCACGCTGAGTTGTGGCCCCCACTGGTTGACATCCTTCAGACAAGACTGTTGAGCTCTGAACTCAGCTTCCCCTCCTTCCTCCCAGTGGAGCTGGGCTACCCATCCTGTCAGGCAGGAAGTAATAATCTAATAATCAATAGAGTTCCCTAGAAGGAAACTTAGGATCCTATTTCTGGACCAGCGCTTTCTGTTACACGCAGGGAATGGGCCCTGGGAGGGAATGTAAAGGCAGAGCCAGACTACAGCCCTGTGACCTGGCCCCTGACCAGCACCTGTCCCATGTCCTTTCCCTCCACCCCTGGGCTCCACACTCCAGGATGTGCACCCAGATGGGGTTCCCAGACCCCCTTCCCAGCGCTACCTGGGTGACCATAAAATCAGACTCCTGCCCCTCCATACACAGCCCCCCCCACACACGCATGCCCTTGGCAGTAGATGCCGGGTTCTTCACGGTCAGTCCAAGAACACAGTGGTGGGTGTTCTGAATGCCTCAGTCACTATGACTCTGCTTCACCCACCCTGGCAGGGGGCACCTTCCACCCCTGCTCCTACTTCTCATCCTTTCTGTTTGGGCAGCTCTGTGAGGTAGGAAGAGCGGGGCTTCTGGCCCCAGAGGACCTTGGGTTACTCAGGCACAGCCAACTGGTTCCACGAACCCGAGTCCCTCCTTTGAGTCGGCCCTGCCCTGGACCCTAGAGATGCTGCGTCTCCTTTCATCTGAGCCTCAACCCCTTCATCTGTCAAATGGCGGAATGGCCGGTCGCTGGGGGCCACTGTGAGCAGTAAATAGCTGTGAAAGTGCCTCGTAAACTACAAAACCCTCTGTAAATATCAGCAGTGAGTGAACCGGGTGCGTTTCTGGCTTCTGCGTTAAGATTTAGCTGCATCTCGGGGCATCTGGGCGGCTCAGTCGGTTGAGCGTCTGACCCTTGATTTCGGCTCAGATCATGATCTTATGGTTTGTGAGATCAAGCCTGCACTGTCACTGCTTGGGATTCTCTCTCTCACGCTCTCTCTCTGCCCCTTCCCTACTCATTCTCTCCTTCCCCGCCCCCCTCTCAAAATAAATAATAAATTTAAAAAAAAAAAAAAAAAAAGAATTAGCTGCAACCTAAATCCAATGTGGACTTTAGAGCTTGGCATGGGCTTCACAAAAGGAAAAGTCATGTAGTTCTTGTGTTGGAACCGATATAAATAACGGAAAAATAAATAACTGAGAAACATCTCCCCTTGCTTCAGCTCCGCAACAATGCCTCTCTGTCTCGTGCCACGTGGGAGGAAGACTTCTCGTTGCGAGCCCTTGGAAGTAGGAGGCCGAAAAGACAGCCACATCCTGATCCGTGGGTGCCGCAAACACGTTAGGCTACACGGCAGAGGGAAACTGAGGCCACAGACGGAATCAAGGTTGCTAACTGGCTGACCCTAATATAGGGAGGGTGCCCTGGATTGCCCAGTTGTGTGTGACCACTGGGTCCCCAGAAGGGACAGATGGGAGTCCAATGAGGTGTGATTTGAAGCGCGTCCAGAGAGCTACTATGGTACTGTCGCTTTGGGGATGAAGGAAGAAATGTGGGCAACGTCACGTCTAGAAGCTGGAAAAGTCAAGGTAACAGCTTCCCTCCGGTAGGAAGGCAGGCCTTGCTGACTTCTTGGTTTTAGCCCAGGGAGACCCGAAGAGGAATTCAAACCTGCGGAACCGTATGGTAATAAATGTGTGCCGTTTCAAGGCACGGAGTTTGCGACGATTTGTCGCGGTAGCGACAGGAAACCCATGCAGCTCCCGTTCAAGGAATGTGCAGCCGCGTTCTCGAAAAAAAACCACTTCCAAAGCTACTTGGGGTAAAGGCCAGGACGGCAACCCCAGTAAACCTCTGTCAGAAACCACCGCCCCTTGGTGGTCAAGCCCTGGGCTGATCAGTGGCCACTCGGACCCGGTGGTGAGTGACGCGGTGCCATAACCAGACTGAGATATTGGGGAGTGCACGGGGCGGACGTCAACCTTCTCCACAAAGACAGTGGGGCCCGCACCCCAAAGTCCAAGTGGGTCAAGAACGAAGAAGAAGGGTCACCTCAACATCAGGGGTTCCTTCTGCCATGCCACCCACGCCTCTGGTTTCAGCTACCACCTAATGGTAATGACTCCGTGCCCACGCACGGTGGGTTACCGGGAGACCTGCCGAGCGGCTAAACGGATGATTCTCCACTCTCTAGGTGCGGAGGGACCGCCTCCAGTGCCCTGGTGGCCCTTTTCATAGCCTCACGTGTCCGAAAACAGCAGTCCCAGGGCTGGGCAAGGACCTACCGCACCCCGGTGGGTCCCGAGGGGCACTGCCGGTGGCCAAGACTTGGTGGAATCCTTCCAGGCACCCAAACCACGTCCTGGGAGAGGTGCCGAAGCTGTCTCCCTGGAGGAAGTAGATGGAGGGGTCTGCTGGGAATGTCTTGGAATCCAGATAAAGCTGGAACTCTCCACTTTGGATCAGATCCGCGAAGCGTCCGATGAGATCCTTGCCGACTAAGGCCTCCTCTGTAAGACACACGATGAGGCAGGAATGTCATATTGTTCTCTGCAAGGCCCGGGATGGGGGGGGGGGGGGGGGTGTCAAGGGGCAGAGCCACCCAGAATGTCCACAGGGAAAGGGGATGTAAGCATTGCCGGGTTTCTCATTTTACAGGGGGAGACACTGAGGCCCACAGAAGGGGACGGACGGGCCCAAATTCACACCGGAGTCAGAAGCGTTACTGAGACTTTAACCCGGGTCTCTGGATCCTGCCATCTCTGTGGCATCAGTATGATCCCCACTGGTACGAGCTATCGTGTCTTCAGTCACGAATTTCAGGCGCACCACGTAGATACACGGCTGTCTTAACCTGTGGCAAGCCACCGTCTCTGAGCCTCGGTCTCCTCATCTGCAAAATGGGGCTGGCAATGCTTCTCTTGCAGTTGGTGACGATTATGAGGGAGGATGTGTATGATGGGGCCACTCAAAGAGAAGCCGGAGCCTCCAGGAGGCAGTGGTTAGTTAAACGCCGAAGCGGCCTCCCGCTGTTGACCCCTAAGTATTGCCTAGGAAGAAACCAGATGAGCACGACATCTGGAGCTGGGACGGATCCCTGCACGCCATGAACATCCATGCTCCGGCAGGCTCCTGTAAAGCCCACCCAGGGCCCGAAACCACAGTCATCAGCATGGACACCAGGAATAAGCATCTCCTCTCTTGGCAGCTTCAGACGTACCTGAATCGCCCTGGGTCTTTCCAGAAGAAGATGAAAAGGGACCCCCAGCCCCCCCGGTAGCACAGAGGTCAGGCTGCAGCCAGTCCTGACCTTGGGCGTTTGGCCACTGGACCGGATGGTAGGAGAGCAGGGGTGGGGGCTCCCCATTCTCCGGTCGGCGATATGGATTCTGTCTACACTGGCTCCCGGCACCGTCACAAAGTCCACTCCTTGGATCCTTTTGCTCTCTCAATCCATCCACACACCTGCCCACTTTACACAGTATAATAATGGGTTTAAATACTGTCACTGGTCTGAGATGTTTTAGAATTACAAGTGCGCAGAACACAGATTATAAACCAACACAGACTGTCACCCTCCTCCTCTTCCCTGCTTCACCCCTGTCTCCCCGTCGGTGCCCAGAAAATCAAGAGAAGAATTTAAAAGTGTCCACATAAGTATACTCAGGTGATATTATTTAACTGTAGTAAGCCACTAACAGAACATCGTTCATTTTTATGTACTTTTTTTTAAATTTTTTTTTTAACATTTATTTCTTTTTGAGACAGAGAGAGAGAGAGCATGAACAGGGGAGGGTCAGAGAAAGAGGGAGACACAGAATCTGAAACAGGCTCCAGGCTCTGAGCTGTCAGCACAGAGCCCGACGCAGGGCTCGAACTCACGGACCGTGAGATCATGACCTGAGCCGAAGTCGGACGCTTCACCGACTGAGCCACCCAGGAACCCCTTATGTACTTTTTAATCACTGGCGCCTCCAAGGGCCAAGTACATCATTCTCTCACTAGATCCTCGTAGGAAGGCATTACAGGCTCCACCGGCATGTGACAGATGGAGAAACTGAGTCTCAGAGAGGCTGCATGCCATCAAGGCAGAAGCACAGGAAAACATACCGATGTCACGCACATCAGGAAGAGAGGCTGGGGGAACGTCCTGGAGCCGCAATTTCCATGTGACATTCACTCCTAAACGCTCGCCACTCACACATTCCACCTGCACCGTGGAACCATCGCAGACAGGAATGGAAACGGGGCTCCCAAAAGTCTTTGCCTGCATGGAGACAGATACCTTTAGTTCTAGAACACGGAGTCGGGAGGCAGCTTTGCTGAGCCCACACCAGGCGCCAGAACGTGGTGGATGCTACTTCCTTCCAACCTCCCTTCAACCCACCCGAGGGGGCAAAAGGCACCATCAACCCCCTTTCCCTAGAGAACCATGAGGGTCCAGTCACCTCCGCACAAGTCAAAGTTCATCCTGGTTCACGCCGGATTCTTTTTTCCCTGTTGCATTAGTATATTACTGATTAAAATCCGTCCCGACCACTTTAACTAGCGTTTGGCTTTGTTCGTCTTTGACAATCCTCAGGGCCTACAATCATGCCCAGCCTGTAATAGGCACTCAAACATTTGTTACATGGAAGGAGGAAAGAAGGAAAGAAAGAACTTGGTGCAACGAAAGAGTCTAAACAGACCTGGATTAGCTATCCAACTTGGGCAACTCACGTACCCTCAGTGGGCTTTAGTTAATACACTTAGAAATCAAGGGCCACTAAGGCCCACTGAGCAGGGTGCTGACGTAATTAGAGACAAGAAATGCACAATTTCTAGAATGGTTCCAGGGACACAGTCAGGGCTCAACAATGAATAGCTATCACTGCCATTGTTGCCAAGTACATTTCTTTGAATAAAAGGGGGCAAAGTATGTTTCTCTTTGTTTTAGAATCACAACTGTCTGTATCTGTTTTCGTGAAAATGTACGTTCTCCAAAATTCTTAGCATGAGGTGTTAAAACTGCGTTGCTCTCTGAGTTAACAAGCTTGGAGCAGAACGAGTCGCTTATTTAATTGAGTGACTTTTATTTATTTATTTTTTAATGTTTATTTACTTCTGAGACAGAGAGAGACAGAGCATGAGCAGGGGAGGAGCAGAGAGAGAGGGAGACACAGAATCCGAAGCAGGCTCCAAGCTCCAAGTTGTCAGCACAGAGCCCGACGCGGGGCTCGAACTCACGGACCGTGAGATCGTGACCTGAGCCGAAGTCGGTCGTTCAACCGACTCAGCCACCCAGGCGCCCCTAATTGAGTGACTTTTAAAGACTCCCTCTGTGAATACTTGTGACTTCAAATCACAGAAGCCTTTGCCTACTACACAGCTAAAGACTCTGGAAGGCAGCATCTTCCTTCCAGGGGGGAATCCATAATGCCTTCCGGCAGGTTTGGTCAAGACACATCCGGCACAGTGGTTCAGGGTGCGCATCCTGGCGTTTCAGTCTTCCTGCACCCCGTTCCCGGACCCTTCCTCCGCAGGTGCTGGTAGGACGGCACAGGCGTTCACAGCTCTGTCCCCAGGTCATCTGCCGGGCTCCACCATCCCCAGCTGTGTCACTCTGGACAATTACGTTAACCCTCCGGGCTTCAGCCCCCTCATCCACAAAACGGGAACAGTAATAGGATCCCCGCGAGCATTGCTAGTCCCGGCCAACAGCGCACGGGGCTCGCCACACGGTAAGTGCTCGGCACACGTTTGGTTTGTCACCTCTATGCAGAAAGGAACGCCGGTAAGGAGTGCGGATTCCATCCCTGCCGCTACGTAATTAGCCTTGGCCAAAGGTCTCTCTCAGGGTGAACCTCGGTTTGCCTATCGGTAGAATGAGTGGGAGCGGGACCCTAGGTTCCCTTGAGCCCCGAGGCCCCCCGGACACGGTGACCCCGAGCCCAGTCCGAGCCCCCGCCCGCGCGGGAGGCCAGGCGCACACCTGGATCTGGCAGAAGCCCCGGGCCACGAGCTCGTCTGATATGAAGACCCGGAAAGCCGGCAGCAAGCCCGCGTAGTCGGCGCTGCACATCTTGCCTGGCGGGAGCCGGAGCAGGACCCGCGCTCGGGTCTGGACGGTCTGCCACAGCTGGGGCCCTGCAGGCAAGCGCCAGAGGTCAGCAGACGCGGACAGCAGACCCGTGAGACTCTCCTCTTTGGTTTTGCCTCTGCAAAAGGAGCCCTTCTTCGTTTAGCTCGGAACGCACAAGCACTCCCAGCTTGCACGGCCCCCTTCCCGGCACGGTGGTTTCTCTCTGAAATTACTGAGCACGCACCCTCCCAGCGAGCTCAGTCCGGCCTCGGCCTCTAAACCAGGCTGCTTGACATTCTTGGGGGTGGGGGGGTGGGGGGGACCTGGACATTCTTCTTGGGAAGTCTGCCACATTATCTTGCATTCCAACAGGGCCACCGCATACGATGTTGCCAGTTAAGGGGAGACCCCACAGACTGTATGAGAGCCGCACTCTAAGGTTGCTCAGTGCACAACCTGCACAGTAGTACACGGTGGCCCTGCACTTAACTGTAAGAGCTCGAGGCTCGTGCCCCTCTTCTCCCAAGTGCCTGGCTCTAGAGCCAGTCTTGACAAGCCTGGTCTTAATTTCGGCTTAGGCCACTTTGTCACAGCCAGGGGGACAGACCACTTATTTGTCCAAATCATACTGGCCTTTTTATGGATACCATTTTCTATCCCAGAAATTTGCCGGAAATACTGCCTTTTGACACTCTGCGAACCCCCCGGAACCTTGTGACCGTCCCAGGATCTGGGTCTCCCTCTCTCTCAGACACCACCCCGGACCCAGTGCCCGGTCCCGGCATCCGCCCCTGCTCTGCCGGGCTGTGAGTAACTGTGGCCAGCCTTAGCCAAGGCAGAGGCAGTCAGAGCTCAATGCTGCCTCACAGCTGTGGGGGTGTAAGAACAGGTTCCGTGGGAGAGCAGGGAAAAGGGGCTCGGCCCATCTTCAAACAGGGCCCAGGCACACACTGACCAGAACTGGTGCCCCCCCGCCCCAGAGCAGGGTCCAGCCCCAGATCTGCCAGGCATTAGGTGTGGAGCCCCAGATGGACCCGGGAGTGAGCCCAGTGGGTCAGAGTCCAGACAAACAGCTCTGAGCTTGTCAACACCAGAGTAGCCAATAAGGCCATTGGAACACCTACCTCCCGAATACACTTCTGTATCCAAGGCATCCCAGGAAAGCCTGAAATGGCGGCAGTTCTCCCAAGGAGCAGATTGTCCCAAAAGAAAGCGTAACCCTAGGAGTCTGTGAAACACATCTGCTCCTTCTAAAAGAAAATGCTGGGGCACCTGACTGGCTCAGTCGGTTGAACGTCCGACTTCCGTGATCTCGCAGTTTCTGAGTTTGAGCCCCACATCGGGCTCTCCGCTGTCAGCCTGTCAGCGCAGATCCTCTGTCCCCGTTTCGGCCCCTCTCCCACTTGCGTCCTCCCAAAAATAAATGAGTGTTTTTTAATTAAAAAAAAGAAGAAAGAAAGAAAACACTTTATTGGGCCCCCTCTCCTGTTCCTGATGCCGCCTGGCTCACCGTGGAAATGCTACCCTCGGGTGGGGAGAATGCAGGTGCTCAGCCCTGAGCCCCAAGGGAGAAAGCAGGGTGCGGGGCAGACACTCACGCTGGCAGGCGTGGGGCTGGGGCGGCTGTGACACCCAGCGTCCCTCCTCGAGGCCACATAGCAGGGGCCCTGGCGGGAACGCACTCCAGTAGCCCCGGAGGCATCGCAGCTGGCACCGCTGGATGGCGGATCCCCCGGGGCCCGCGGCTCGCTCACACAGGATCGCTCCACCGGCCACATCCGACGTGTTGAACGGTAGCGGGCACTGGGGGCCTAGAAGCAAAGAGGGCCACTGTGGGTGCCACTCGCACAAGGGGGGCCTGACGTCTCCCCTTTCGCCCTTTCCCAGCCTTGACCTCCCGGGGCCCCCTCCCTCCCCGCCCTCCTCTCGGGTGAGCCCATCCTCCTGCTTTAACAGACTCCTGAGCACACCCTCTCCCACATCTTCGTGTCCAGCTTGGGTCCCCGCAGCTCCTTCCCATCTGGACATCCAGTTGCCAGGGGGCCTCTCCACCCCAGAGCCAGCACACCCGACCTCCTCGCCTGCGGCCGCGTCTCCCCCAGCTTCGGTGTCCCGAGCTCCACCCATGACGAACCCCAGTTGTCCCAAGCCACACATGTGGCAGCACCTTAGATGGTCCCGTCCCCTCTGCCGCAGACCAGCGAGGGCTGCAGATCACCTGTCCCGACTTTTCATCTCCGTGCACTTCCTTCCTTTAGGGTCAGCCACCGGTTCCCAAACTGCTACCTACGGAAGCTTCTGCACCAGGCTCCCCGCCTCCGGGATCAGACAACCCATCCAGTCCCTGCTGTCAGCACAGAAGCTGCAGCGAAGCTGGACAGGGCTCTCGACTGCCCTGAGGGCCACTGACCCACCATTCCCTCTCCTCTCCTCTCCTCCCCTCCCCCCTCCTCTCATCTCTTCTCCTCCTGCCGCTCTACCTTCGCGGGTCTCCCCTTCCCTGAACGTCCCATGCCCTCTGCCTGCCCAGCTGCCTAGAATATTCCTTTTTTTCAAGCCTCCATCATCAACTCAACATCTCCTGCCTTCTACACCTTCTGCGGTTCCCCAGGGCGAACTTAGCGAGCTCTCGGGCCTCCTGCTGCGGACCTCCATGCTGTCAGTCATTCAAGACTAATCATGTGCACGCTGGTCTCCCCGCTGCACGGAGCCAGGGAGGAAAGAGGGCGCCCCTCCCTGTTCACCCAGAACACAAGCTCCAGGAATGTACGTTAAATAAGTGGCTGAACGAGTAAACGAAAGAACAGACACACTCAGTGGGATCATTGAGCGCCCTATAGCGAGTTAATTAACTTCTCTGTGACTCCGTTTTCTCACCCATAAAATGGTGAGGACAGCGATATTGCCTACCTCCGAAGGATGGTGTGAATCAAGATGCGTTAAGGGACATAAAGAGCTTAGAGGAGTTACTGGCACATGACAGACAAATAGTCATTAATGTGAGTCCTGATGATGATGATGACGATGATTGTTAACAACAAGAACACATCATCGCCTGCACTGGGAATTTCAGGATGTGAATTAACCCTTTCAGAGCAAGGAAACAGCTCTTGGTGTATTACAAGGGTAAGCTTCCTACACCCGTGATGTCTGATATCTACCATGAATTGTAGAGCTTGTGAAACTCTGTCATGATTGACACTTAATTTACCTTCCTCAAAACAAGCCTATGAAGTTGGCAGCTGTGGCATTTTCATCCTCCTTTTATAGATGAAGAAATGGAAGTCTAGAGACACAGGGCCAGGACTTGGGCACAGGTCCTTTGAAACTAACCGCTACCCTAGCAGGCAAGGGCCACACTTCCCCTTAGCCTGGTGCTGTTTATTTTTTCAAATATTTTTTTAATGTTTATTTATTTTGAGAGAGAGAGACAGAGCACGAGACCAGGGGAGGGGCACAGAGAGAGGGAGACGCAGAAGCTGAAGCAGGCTCCAGGCTCCGAGCTGTCAGCACAGAGCCCGACGTGGGGCTCGAACCCACGGACCGTGAGATCACGACCTGAGCCCAAGACGGACGCTTGACCGATGGAGCCACCCCGGAGCCCCAGCCTGGTGCTGTTTAGAGAGGGGGATACACCCATCCACTTGTAGACACGAGTGTTGGCGTCATGGGAATCATCTGAAACCACATCCCTCCAGCCCTTCCCTGTCTCCCCCCCAACCTGCCCTGTCCTGGTGCCTCAAGAGTCCTCCCCAGCCTGCGTAAGGGAAGAGATGAGTGGCACACCCACCCAGCAGCCCAGGGGAGCCCCTCGGGGGTCACAGCTTACTTTCACAGGCTGGCTGGCGCCCAGCCTCGCGGGTCCCAGGCACCTCTTCTCCGGTGGCGAGGACACACCAGCAGCTGCCCTGGGCCGGGTCGCAGCGCACGGGGGAAGAGCGTCCATCCTCTTCCCCACAGGCTGGGGTAGAGCTCGAGCTGGCTCTCCTGGGGAGGACTCCACTCGGGAGCACGTCACAGAGGCTCGGGCCTGGACACAAAGACAAGCCAAATGGGCCCGTGGCCCACAGAGGTGCCTCCACCCACCGCCACCTGTCACACCCACCTGCAGGGCCCTCCAGGGTCTGGGGTGCTGGACTAGGACAGGCCAAAGACGGCACCCCGCCCAAATCCAGACTCCCCTACAAGCGCGCGCGCACACACACACACACACACACACACACACACACTCTCTGCCCTCCAGGAACTTCGTGTCTTTAAGGAGATTTAGGGAGGGAGGAAGGGATTGTGGCTGAGAGTGATGGGGGGACCACAGGCCATGAGCAGGGCAGTTTGGGAACCCGCAGAAAGGCACGGCGCTCAGCTCTGGAAGGGAGGCCGCGAAGGCGTCTGGAGGGACTGACACGTGATCCGTGTAGGAAGCGGGGGTGGGGAGGGGACTGAAGCAGAATGCACGTGAAGGCCCGGAGGGAAGCCAGCGTCCCCCTTCTTGAAAAGTCTGGCTGTAGTTTACAACACCCGGGTCCTGAGCGCGAGAGATGATGAGATAAGAAAAGCAAAGAGAGGAGCGGGAGCCCGACACGCAGGGGCCGATGGGCCACGGGGAGGAGCCTGGGCCCCGAGGACCCTGGAGGAGGCAGAGCACATTGGCACTTGGGGGACACCCTGGTGACTTCGGTGCGGAACCCAGGCTGCGGGGCTGAGGCGGGGTGGGGGTGGCAAGGGGCGAGGCAGGGGCTGGTTGTGGCCTCAGCGCCACTTTAATGGGGACCAGAGCCGGTTTGCATGTCTTGGTTACAAAGCACAGCCCACTCCCTGCCACGCGTGTCTTTCTCAAGAACCCACGGAGGTGAGGGCCTACTGCCCCTATTTTACAGATGAGAAAACTGAGGCCCAGGGAGGCCAGAGGCTCCCACAGCTCTGGAAGCAGCAGAGCGGGGAGCTGGAGGCAGCACTCATGGCGGGGCTGGGGCAGGGGGAGGGGTAGCTACTCACACGGGGCGCTGCTGTTGGTGGCCAGAGGCAGGCCCGCTCCCGAGGCTGGGTCCACACACCAGGCGCCGGTCTCCGACTCCTGCAGCCTGGCAAACTCTCCTGTCTGAGACAAAGCCGAGCTCATGTCTTCACCCCAGGGAAGACGTTTTTGCAGCCCACAGGTCGGTGGGCAGATGTCCAGAATGTCCCTTGCCGAAACCACCGGGGACGGTTTCACCAAACAGAGAGAGGCGAGGCGGAGAAGACGCTATCCTGGTCCAGACCCTTTACATCCGCTCCTTAATTGATGGTTACCACAACCCCATGAGGCCAGGCCCACAGCGTTCTCATTTTCGGGTGGGGGAAACTGAGGCTCAGAGAGGGGAGGAGACAGAGCAACGTCCCATAGGGAGAGAATGGTGGGGCCGGGCTGGGTCTAAACCCATCCGGCCCCAAAGCCCAGCCACTGTCCTGAACCAAGCTCCCCCCAGGTCCAGAAATGATTTTCAGCACGCATCCCTAGAAGGAAGGGGACCTTTGGCACCTGTAACAGACAATGAGGGGATCAGTAGAAGACAGCTACCCAGACCTTATCTGGCCAGGCCCGTCTCTCCCAGACTGTCCTGGGACCACCTGGGGAACACAGAGCAAGGCCAGTGGGGCCTCAGTTTCCCCGCTAAAAAAAAAGAGGCAGGACTAGATTGATGTTTGCACACACTCCTTCTAGGAACTCTTGGTGGTAGAAAGTGTTACATCTCCTGCATCTGTAACGGAAAACCCTAAGAGGAAGCAGGGTGCTGGAGAAAACCAGCAGCCCCAAGCTACCTGTCACTGGTTCCCTGAGCTTCTGTTGGCTGCTTTTCACATCATACTCTGCTGTGCCTTGTTCACAGGCAAGAAATGACAGTAATAACACTCGACATTCACAGGGAACATGACCACAAGGGCCACTCTGTGTGAATCACCCCCACTCCCAGGGTGTCACTGCGTCCCTAGGAGGCAGGGACCCTGCTGTCCCCATTCTACCCAGAGAGGCCCAGAGAAATCAGATGATATGCCCCTGGTTACATGCCTTGTAATCCAAACAGGTAAGATTCAAAGCCAAGTGAAAGGTTTGAGAAAATGTTATGGGACAAAGGCTTCAAATTGAGAACTTTCTAGCGAGACAGGAAACCATCAAAACCCTAGAGAAGAAAGCAGGAAAAAACCTCTCTGACCTCAGCCGCAGAAATTTCTTACTTGACACATCTCAAAGGGAATTAAAAGCAAAAAAAATGAACTATTGGGACCTCATGAAGAGATAAAGCTTCTGCACCTGAGAAGCAATCCGCTCCAAAACTAAAGGCAACTGACGGAATGGGAAAAGATATTTGCAAATGACATATCGGACAAAGTATCAAAATCTATGAGAACTCACCAAACTCCACCCAACAATCATCCAGTGAAGAAATGGGCAGAAAAACATGAATAACCTTGCCTTCTCTAAAGGAACATCGGATAGCCAACAGGCACATGAAAAGATACTCAAATGCAGCTCTCATCGAAATACAAATCAAAACCACACTTTCAGATATCACCTCATGCCAGTCAGGTGTGATAGACAAATCAGGGGAACTAGATGCTGGAGGAGAGGGATGTGGAGAAACTTGGAACCTCTTGCTGTTGGTGGGAATGCAAACTGTGCAGCAGCTCTGGAAAACTGTGGAGGTTCTCAAAAAAAGTAAAAACAGATCTACCCTATGACCCAGCAGCCACTGCTAGGGAGAATTTACCAAGGGAATGAAAGTGCTGACACATAGGGGCACTTGTACCCCAATATATTAACGGCATATAACTGTAACCAAATTATGGAAAGAGCCTAAATGTCCATCCAACTGGCCGAATGGATAAAGAGAATTGTGGTTTATACACAATGGAATACCATGGCAATGAGAAAGGATGAAATCATGCTTGATGGATGGAACTGAAGTGTTATGCTAAGTGAAGTAAGAATCTTACAGAAAGAGTGAAAATAAGTCACTACATGTATGTATTTCCTCTTATGTGGATCCTGAGAAACTTAACAGAAGACCATGGGGAAGGGGAAGGAAAAAAAAAAAAAAAAAGATGGGAGCCAAAACATAGAGACTCTTAAAAACTGAGAATAAACTGATGGTTGATGGGAGTGGGAGGGAGGGGAAGGGGGGTGATGGATACTGAGGAGGGCACCTGTTGGGATGAGCCCTGGGTGTTGTATGGAAACCAATTTGACAATAAATTTCATATGAAATTAACTAATTAATGAAATTAAATAAATAAAATGTGTGGCATTAATAAAAAAATTGAGAACATTCTAGTCGTTAACTTAACCTTTCCTAGGGACTTGGGTCAAAGGCACAGCTACCCAGTTTGGGTTGTGGAAGGCTTGGGTCCTGTTCCCTAGCACCTGGGGCCTCCACAGGAGGCAGGCCGGGAGACCACCTGATCACAGCCTGCTCAGAATCACTATTCCCTCTGTCAGAAACTGTGGTCTCCACCTCACCCTCTGTGCCAACAGAGGCCGGTACCCAGGACAATGGAACAGACTTCCATTCCAGCCATCGGGGGTTGTTAGCCAAGATAAAAGGCTAAAGAGGCCAATTTCTCTACAAAAATCAGTAATAACTGGGGTCCATCGTCACAGTTCCAAACAGCAACAATAATAAAGAATAATAATAAGGAAACTTTTGCTCAGTGATTTGTAGTCATCTCGCTTTCAGAAACTTCTAGGGGCCGAGCAGAGATTGCCATCACTCGGCATGTAAGTGGTTAAGACTCCAGCAAGAATCCTTCCTTCGGGGGCTTTTTACATCAGTTCTGCACCCATCCAGCAATGTAAAGCAGGTAACAGTCTAATGCCTCCCATTTATATGAAGAAACAGATATACTGGCCATACAATGTGGCCAGGATGACTTTAGGGTAAATATGTCACCAGCTATAGACATGCAGATTTATTCTGCAAAGAAATGGAAAGTATTTCCTTGGGGCCTCCGAACAATCCTAGCACTAGGCAGGATAAAAGTGTGGCCCAATCTTAGGGTAAGATAAAGCAAACTGGAGCACAGAGAAGGTAAGCAAATTGCCCAAGGTCACACAGCCAGGGTCTGTCAGGGTAAAGAATGACCTAGGAGTTTTTAAGTGAAACAAGTATACTGAGAACTAGAAAAATCATCCCCAGTGTACATGAGAAAGCTCTGGCTGCCCTCCTCAAACCATCCCTGTGCTCTCAGAGCCTTACCTCTAGGCAGGTTGGGATGAACAGGTCTCTTGGAGATGGGTTTCCCTGGGACCCAGCCTGTTTCCAACTGGAAAGCAGCCCACTGGTTCGAGATGCCTCACAGGCGGTGGGGCCTGAGGAAGAGGAGGGGAGTTCTTAACAGACTGGCCGTGGGAGAGCAGGGAGCCCAGATGGGCCTGGGGGGTGGGGGTCAGAGGCTTGAGTCAGGGTAGAAGGAGGTGTCCTGCACAGACAGAGGGAGCCTCAGAGGAGGATCAGGCCACGGTTCAGGGACAGAGACCCACATGCGGAGAGGCCGGTCCGTAGGGCAAGTGTGAGACAGTTGTCAAAACTGGAAGAGTGAATGAAAATGCCCGGGAGCAGGTGGGAGGAGGGGACCCCGGGCTCTTTCACCGTCACTGGGGACTCTCTGCACCTAGGAAGCGAGGTGCACAGAACACGAAGGACCAAGATCATGAGAGTCGTCCAGACTTGGGAATGCGGGAAAGCATGGCCTGGCTGCCCTCGGGGGCTGGACTGTGGGCGCTTGGGGGCTGACCCACGAGCATCCCCAAGGTGGGGTGACAACAACGGCTGGACCAGCCTAGAACAAACATGACAGCGACTATACACAGGGTCAGGCGGGACAGTTCCTCGGGCTTCACTTACACGGGGGGATCTGGGAGGAGCGGGCAGTCAGCGAGGCAGGGACGTACTCTCCCCTCCTGTCCACACACCAGCAGTACCCTGGGAAAGAGCCGCGGGTCAGAGGTTCAGGAAGTGCGCTGGGGGACTCGCCCCCAGGGGTCTCGCACAAAACTCTCCTTCTGTGCACCCACAGCAGGGCCAGCAGGTTCCCATCTGTCCCCCCTGCCCACCATGTGCACAATCACACACCCCAATCCCCCCAGCAACCACGCACTTGACCTTCAGGCTGGCAGGTCACAACTTCCATCGCACAAATGGCACAAAGTCCAGAGAAACTAAGGGATTTGTCACCAGCTGCCAGAGGGGCCCAGAGTCCAGCTCACTGGCCCCAGTGCAAAGCCCTTTCCTCTAAATGAAAAGGAGGGTGTCACTCCACCCCTCGTGGTGTCCATCCCGCTCACCAGTCCTGGCGTGGCATTGCACAGGCTCCCAACGTCCCCACGCGTCGCACTGGGGCACGTAAGGGCCGGGCCGCAGAAGGGCGGATGCTCGCGTGGAATCATCTCCCCGGAGAAAGGCGCGTCTTTGATAGAAGTCAAGGGCTGGAGTCAGGAGAGAGGGGAGCAGAAACGTGAGCCGGAAGGCTGGAAAAGCCTCAGCAGTGTGGGCTCAGCCGCTGACAGGCCCCACGCACATTCTTGCTCCAACGTGAGGAGGCCTTCTTACTGATGTGACAAACAGTGCCTCCCAAAACAGGACAGAGGCTCCTTAAACAGTGGAGAGGCACTCATCAGGCTGCCCTTCAAAAATAAAAATGTAGGGGTGCCTGGGGTGGCCCAGTTGGTTAAGCATCTGACTCTTGATTTCGGCTCGGGTCATGATCTCAGCGTTCGTGAGATCGAGCCCCAAGGTGGGCTCCACATGCTGGGGGAGGAGCTTACTTAAGAGCATGCGTTCTCTGTCTCTCAGATAGATAGATAGATAGAAAGATAGATAGATGTAGGCTGCAGTCTGAAGGAATCACTGCTGGCCTCTTTCGAATCACTTTCATACGAGGCCGTTTAGGTCGGTGAGATGTCCTCTGGCCCATGAAAGGGGAGACCCGTAGACAGCACTTATTCAACATGTCCTACAACAGCAGGCACAATCCGAATATAGGTTTTAGCTGATGAATCCTCATGGCAACCCTCTACAAGAGGTCACATCACCCCATCTGATGGGCACAGAACAGGTGGATCACGTAGCCTACCCCAGCCCCACGGCCGGGAAGTGGACGGAGTGGCTCTGAACACGAGAGGTCAGGGGGTGACACCCACCACGCTCCCACAATTTAGTGCTCCGGCCCCTCGAAGGCTTTGTTCCCCACAAAATCGGGTCCGGTCTTCACAACAGCCCAGGTCGTCTGCACTGTCACCCCAGGGTGCGGGACGGGCTCGGTGGGGCAGGCGAAATGACTCGCCGACGGTCACCCTGCCATCAGACTGTGCCCGTCCTCCGTGCTCGGCGTCCCCTGCCCTGCCTGGCTGTCCCTCACCGCACTTTCCACTACTGACATACTAGACATTGTATGTGTTTGCTTCGTCCCCTCCATGCCAGCGCTTACGCCCTTTAGTGCAAAGATTTGTGCTCATTTTGTGTGCAGAGCTGTGTCTGCCTCATAGAAAGCACTCAAAAAATATTTGTTGAAGCTCAGGAAACAACAGATGTTGGCGAGGATGCGGAGAAAGGGGATCTCTTTTGCACTGGTGGTGGGAATGCAAACCGGTGCAGCCGCTCTGGAGAAGAGTACGGAGGTTCCCCCCAAAATTAAAAATAGAACTACCCGACCCACCCAGCAATTGCACTACCAGGAATTTATCCCAAGGATACAACAATGCTGATTCAAAGGGGCACAAGCACCCCAATGTTTATAGCAGCACTATCGACAACAGCCAGACTATGGAAAGAGTCCAAATATCCCCCGACTGATGAATGGATAAAGATGTGGTTTATATAGAGTGGAATATTACTCGGCCACCAAAAAGAATGAAATCTTGCCATTTGCAACAATGTGGATGGAACCAGAGTGTATCGTGCTAAGCGAAATCAGTCAGAGAAAGACAGATATCACAGGATTTCACTCATATGTGGAATTTAAGAAACAAAACAGATGAACATAGGGGAAGGGAAGGAAACCTAAGATAAAAAGACAGAGGGAGGCAAACCACAAGAGACTCTTAAATGCAGAGAACAAACTGAGGGCTGATGGAGGCGGGGGCGGTTGGGGTAAATGGGCGACAGACATTAAGGAGGGCACTTTTTGGGATGAGCACTGAGTGTCATATGTAAGAGATGAATCACCTGGGTTCTACTCCTGAAGCCATTATTACACTGTACGTAAACTAACTTGAATTTAAGGTTTTTAAAAAAAAAAAAAATAAAGAAATATTTGTTGAGTGGAAAAGAAGAAATGCAGGCATGGAAGGGGTGGGAGGGCGGGCGGGGGGTGAGACAGACGCTAGCGGGCCTGGGTCTCCCAGCGCTCCCTCCCCAGTGTGATTTGCCCCCCAGCGCCATTTCCCTCCTGAGCAGCCAGGAACTGTCCCCTGGACCCCTTCTCAGGTCTGACCCCCTCCACCTCCTCTCCCTTCCTGCTGGCGCTCAGGGTGGGCTTGTGGGGTACAGGGTTGTGGGTGACACAGGGTCACATCACCCAACTTGCTCCTCTCAGAGACGGGCTCACGGCTCCCCAGGGGGGACCCCAGCAGCCCACGGTCAGATCCCCTCAGGAGACCAGGACCCCAGAAAGCGGCCTAGTGCACGGGATGGGGCTCGGGAGCCGATGAGCCTCTGCCTGAATCCTGGCACAGCCCCTCTTGGTTATCGTGAGTGATCTTCGGGGTCATGAGTGAGATCCCCAACCTCTTTGAGCCTCAGTTTCCCCATTGATGAATTGGCTCTAATACCCCACAGGGTAAGCGTGACATTTAGATCACGAGAACTTGAGCACCGAGCTCATGCCAAGAGCAGCTGGGTAAAAATGACTCCCACGTCTCTCCCTCACCCTCCTTGGACCCGAGGACACGACTGCCGTGTCCTGTTGGCCCAAGACACTCCATGACCCTTCATCTCTGTCTGTCCTGGGCTTTCAATCCCCAGATTCTCCAGGACAGGAGGGCTACACACGAAGAGCTTCCTCGCCTGTGCAAGAGTAGAGACGCCTCTTCTCATCTCGAGGGATTCGAGAAAAAAGTGCACCCTTGCTTCTTCCCTACAGACCCTTCCTCTTTTCACTACCGCCTCAGACATGCAAAATCAGAGCGTGTGGCTGCGGGGGTGGGGGGGTGGTGGGGGGGGCAGTGACTTCCTTAACTTGACTTCTGAAGTCAAGTTCAGCCAGCTCACCATTCAGTAACGAAATTTCTATGGCGCCAACGACTTTTTCTCCCCTTCTCTAACCAGGGGCCACAACTGCAGGAACATCAACCCCACGTATCCATCTGATGACATCAAGTCTGTCCAGGAACAAAATTGAAAAACAAAAACAAAAACAAAAACCCGGTTTCTTGCCAAAAGTAGAAATCCCCAAGTCCCCGAGGAACAGAGACAAGAAGTGTCTGGGCATGGGGGAGGGGAGGAGACGGAGGAGAAAGAAAGAGGTGACGAAAGAAGCAAGAAGGACTGTTTAGCAACATTTAGCAGGCTCCCACTGTCTGTCGGGCACTGCGCCCGGACAGGGGACATAACGATGAGTGAGACGCGGTGCCTCATCTTCCAGAAGAGACAACTGGTGTGGAAGAGAGGCAGGAACCAAACATGGCACTTGGGCGAGTCCCACTGGGGTGCAGAGAACAAAAACACCTGAGCCCCCGTCCCCAGGGGGCAGCAGACATCCCTGAAGGGAGAAGCAGGGGGGCCCTGGCCTGCAGGATGGGGGACTCTCGTCTCGGCACAGATGTTATCACGGGAAGCACGGCTTTGCTGTGGTGCGACCGGAACCCAGAAAATCCCAGGTGGGGAATGCGCTGAGATCTTCTGACCGGGAGCAGGGAGCCCGGGATGCTGGGAGGACAGGAACCGTCAGCCCCTGCCCAGTTGGGGCGGGGTCAGAGAGAGACCTGGGGGAGCCGTCGGACCCTCCCTCTGGCGAGGCTGCGGGCGGTGGAGGAAGGGCAGGGCGTCCGGGACCAGCCAGACGCAGGCTCCGGGCACCAGGGATCGGCTGGGCAGGGGACAGAGGCTCGCGGTCCAAACCATCCAGGCTCCGCTGGTTGTGAGCTGGGTCAGCTGGGGCAGGTGAACTTGGGCCTGAGAAGCACCACGGATGGTGGCTGCAGCGCTGTTCTCGTGGAAGCGCTGGAGCATGACATGCAAAGGGCCGGCCGTCTACTCAGCACAGGCAGCGCCTGGCCAGCGGTGGGTTTCAAGTAATGTTGAGCCACCATCACAGGCTAGAGCGCTGTCGGCCCTCCGAGCGTATCTCTGTCACATGCAGGCAGTAAGCCCTGCTCTCTGGAGCCCCCGTCAGATTTAGCTGAGACCACACGTGGAAGGTGCCCGAAACCCACTCATTTCTTGGTAATAAATGTTCCTCTCCTTTGTCCCCAGTGGAAGTGGAGGGAAGCTTCGGAACAGGCCGCGAGCATTTCGGGTGGGGGCCCCTCACGTTCTAGCAAGTACGTGTGGCTGCCTGCTGGGCTATGGGCACCATCTTCAATATGCGGCATGGGGACCCGCGCCCAAGTGGCTGTGCCGGCAGATTCGGGAATACAGTGGAGAGCGGTGCACCATTCTAGCTTTGCCTGGGACACAAACCCACCTTGCCTTTGCTTTCCCAGGGACCCACCAGCCTGGGGAAACCAAGGCCAAAGTTCTGAGGACTGAAGAGCCACGAACTCAAGCCCTTGCTTCCCCAACGAGATGGACCAAGAAACCAGAAGTACAGGAGACTCACTGGACTGAGCTGCCAGACGAATGGCGTAATCGCCCCCGCTCAGAAACTTCTCTGAGAAGGTGGCCCGGGAGGGAGAGAGCTGAGGAAGGGAGAGCTCCTCATCAGTCAGCAGGATTCCTTTGGCTGCTAGGAAACTCTCCCCCAGAGGGAACCAGGAACTGTTGGAAGCCAAGACAATGTCTTCTGTTTCCTTAATGAACTGCAGGACACGAAACTTCACCTCCTCACAAGAGCCAGGACCTAGGGGAATAAAGACATCGTGGCTGAACGCTTTGACCACCCTCACCCCCCCAGAGGCGCGTGCGCATACACGCATGCACACATTTCTGCCACAGCTGTTTCCTTCACCCAGCTCTTTTTACGGCCTGGAATGTTCCTTGTGTTTCGTTTCACTCAACATTTATGGAGAACCTACTGTGTAAGAAGGTGAGCAATAGCTAATGTCTACTCTACACCAGCCATCGTACTAAGCACATGTACACAGACGATCCAATTGAATCTATACAACAGCCCAATAAGATACTATTCTTATCTGTGTGTTAGAGATGAGAAACTGAGGCATGGAGAAGTCATATCACTTAAACTTAAAGTCACGTAGGCTCCATCCTAGCTAGCAAGTAGTTGATTCAGATTTCTCATCTAGTCAGTATAACTCTAGAACCAGAGATCTGGACTAGCTGCCTCCTATGGAAGGATGGACAGGGATGGATGGATGGGTGGATGGATGGAGGAGTAGATAAATGGATGGGTGGATGGATGGATGGATGGATGAGTGGATGGATGGATGGATGGATTTCAAAGGTTGAAAGGAGGCATTATAGGTCAGTAGAGAGATACTCTTTTAAAGAGAAAAGAGCATGGCTCTCACAGACTTCTGGATTCAAATGTCAGCTTGATCACTTATCAGCTGTGTAATTTTGGATGATGTGCTTAACTCTTCTGAGCTTCAGTCTTGTGATCTGTGAAAAGGGGATGATTGGGGCATCTCCCTCAGAGGGTCTTTAAAATTATCCTATGAGGTGCTGCATCTGAAATATTCGGCACAGTGTCTGGCCCATGTTGTCCTTGAAATTGTCACTATTAACAAAAACCACACTGGCCATATTTATTTCAACCTGTCACTTTGTGACTTCAACAGGAAATGTGTTCATTGGGTTCTTTTGAGAGCACAGAATCAGCAGAAACCCTTGACTTCTGGGATGTGAAGACATTATTGCTTTCTGTGGGTGTTGCTGATCAAATAATCTCTTCTGTCAATCCCAGGGATTGAGAATAGCTGAAGCAAAAACTCCCATTTGAAAATCTATGCTTGCTATCCATTTCTTCCAAAAAAAGTATGAATATTCTGTAACTGGATATATGACTGTTTTTTTTTTCTTTTTGACACGTAAGACCTTTTAAAATCTGGCCCAAATGTACCTGTAGCTTCTTCCATCACTCCCTCCCAAGTCCCCTCCCTTCCTAACACACTGACCTACCCCCACCACCCCATTCCCAACAAAGCGGACCCTTTTCAGCGGCCCTAACCTCGAACATGCTATTTCCCCTGTCAGGAAGGGCCCGGCCCCCTTTTTAAGCTGGGCAAACATCCTTCGCAATCCAGAAGCTGAGTCCATGCCAATCTTTACCCAGTTTCCCAGCCAGGGAGTTAGCTCCAGTCTCTGGGCATCCTCCATGACATGGTGACATGTCAGTTTCCCCCAACCGGTTCCTGAGCCCCTCCAAGTATACACCACACCTTTCTCATGACTGTCTTCCCATCATACAGCACAGTGTATACAGCAGTTGTCCATAATTGCACATTAAATAAAGAGAGCGAAATTCCAAAGCGGCCAGAGATTATGCTATGGACAGGACCGGACCTCATGCCCCTGGAGGCAGGTATCATCCCCCCTGCTTACGGTCACTGGTCACTGGCTACTGGTCACTGTATTACTCACCGTCCGTTGTACTAATACAGCCATTTATGAAGGACCTTCTATGTACCAGACCTGGCACTTCACATCGAGTACCTTGTACGATTCTCACAACGACCTTGGAGGTAGTTATCCATCCTAACTCAAATTCACAGATTAAACCAACAGTGTGACTGTGGCCACAGAGGGGTAGGTAGTGGAAACAGGGCTCAAGACTCTGGTAGAACTAGCACCGTGGCCTCGAGACCAGTCCTTCCTCAGGCTTTAGGGAGCATCGGAGCCCCCTGGGGGCTTGTAGAGATGCAGGCATAGATTCAGCAGGTGGGTTCAAAGATTCCAAATTTCTCACAGCTCCCCGAAGTGATGTTAATGCTACTGAACCACGCCTGGGATATCAAGGCTCGGAGCCCATGGTCGCCACACCCTTTTGATAATACGCCCTATCAACAAGGGTTTGAACATGTGCCCCCAAAATGCATATTTCTGTATTTGTAAAGCGAAACACACATACAACTGTATTAATACACTAGGTACGTTTTTCTTCAGCTGTTCATAACATGTAATTGCGAAACCAAAAATAGGACTTTAGAAGGAAAAGAACAAACACGGCATACAGGTGGACGTTCTAATCTTTGCTTCCTGGCGGTTTATCTTGTATCTTGGTCTACCCTCCACACCTCTTGGGACTCACTGCAAAGGCCAGCATATTCTCAGCCCAGTTTTGATGCTTTGCCCAGCACTCAGGCCAAGGTGAGCAAACCTAGCTACCAACGTGACAAGGTGCTTTTGGCCTCAGCAATCAGGCGCAAAAATTGGATGCAAAGAGGTCTAAGTTTATAAAGCATCTGAAATTATAGGAATGTGCCTGTATAGGCGTGACCATTGGTATAGAGACTCTCAAAATCTGAATAAGACTTTTTATACAATAGGCATGCCGACATCTGTGTGTGACTTGGGAGGGGTCAGCCTGTTGCTGGGACCTGACACTTCAGGGGAGAATCCCAGTCGTGGATGGCAGGGGCGGGCCGGGGGGCAGGACACTCCTGGTCTCACCACGTGTTCCTATGATCGAACATCCTAAAATCTCACTTTCTGCTCAAGCCTACACTCTGGCTAATGTCAACATCGTCTGATTAATTTCAGCATTAGCCAGAAAGGCGTGGACAATGTTGAACATTGCAAAGAATGGATTGAGAGATGTCTTTGGGCTTGAACAGCTGTACTGTTACCTGTAATACCTAGCAACTGCTGGCTACGGAGGTTCTCATTTGATAATAACAGTGCTAGAGAGCCAAAGCATAAGAGACTCTTAAAAACTGAGAGTTGATGGGGGGTGGGAGGGAGGGGAGGGTGGGTGATGGGTATTGAGGAGGGCACCTTTTGGGATGAGCACTGGGTGTTGTATGGAAACCAATTTGATAATAAATTTCATATATTGGAAAAAAATAACAGTGCTGAATCCGCCTTGTTCTTTCCAGCTGCTGGTGTGGCCACTTGGTAATGAGCCATTTGAAGTTCGGACAGAGTCAGCCTCATTTTGCATCTGCCTCATACACCACAGCTTTCCTCTAAGTCCACCTGCCACAGAGCCGAACTTACAGACCTCCTTCAGCTGTTCTCCAATTAGTCCTATAACGAAACCCCTCAAGTGAAGTAAAGGCACTTCGTGAGGTCTGGAGGACCTAGCAGTGTCTTTGTAAGGAGGATCATAATCCATGTTGGTTAATCCAATGGTGGTGCACCTAATTTAGGAGAGATTACTCAAGTGTTAGCCATAGTGGGCAAGAGCCAGGTCATACCCACGTGACAGGCTTCATCGGTCCTGAGATCATGCTTTGCACACAGACGACATTCAATTAAAATCTGAGGCACTGATTTAAATAATCGATCATATGAACATTAAAAATGAACTACATTGGGGTGCCTCAATGGCTCAGTCGGTTGAGCGTCCGACTTCGGCTCAGGTCATGATCTCACAGTTCCTGAGTTCGAGCCCCGCGTCGGGCTCTGTGCTGATGGCTCAGAGCCTGGGGCCTGCTTCGGATTCTGTGTCTCCCTCACTCTCTGCCCCTCCCCCACTCATGCTCTGTGTCTCTGTGTCTCTGAAAAATAAACAAATGTAAAAAAAAATTTTTTTAATAAAAATAAAAATGAACTACATTGGGGCGCCTGGGTGGCTCAGTCGGTTAAGCGTCAGAGTTTCGGCTCAGGTCGTGATCTCACAGCTCGTGAGTTCAAACCCTCCGTCGGGCTCTGCGCTGACAGCTCAGAACCTGAAGCCTGCTTTGGATTCTTCGTCTCCCTCTTTCTCTGCCCCTCCCCTGCTCATGCTCTGTTTCTCTCTTTCTCAAAAATAAATAAACGTTTTAAAAACATGAACTACATTAACTTCACCAACACCCAACTGTGTGAATGTGGGGAAGTCACTTCGTTTCTATGAGCGTTGGCGTTCTGGTCTGAACGTTCGCATCCCCCCTCTCCCCCAAATGTATTGTATTGAAGCCCTGACCCCTAAAGTGATGGTACTTGGAGGTGGGACCCTTGGGAGGTGATTAGGTTTCAAAGAGGTCATGAGGGTGGGGCCCTCTGGATGGGATTAGTGTCTTTATAAAAAGAGCACTTTCTCTCTGCCATGTGAATACACAGTTCCTTCTGCAATGCAGGAAGACAGCTCTCAGCAGGAACGGAATCAGCCAGCACCTTGATCTTGGACTTCCACTCCCCCAGAGCTATGGGAAATGCCTGTTGGTTAAGCCTCCTAGCCTACAGTACTCTTGCAGCAGCCCGAGCCGACTAATGCATCCGCGTGCCTCGAGCATTGAAGGGACATATACCTGTCCGTATCTGATCTCCACTCCAGCTCAGACACTCAGTACACGCCTACCAGACATCTTTTTTATAAAGGCACAAATTCAGCTCTCCACGGGGTGTAACTCACATGCTGGGACCTTGCTTGGCTCTGTCCGGGTGCTTTCCAGTTCTTGACCAGCCTCATTCACACACCAGCAGCTCCGAAGGTCAAGGTGTGCCAGAGGAGTGCTGAAGTCTGAGTAGGGCCCTGGGTACCAGCTGAGCTGGCCATTCAGGATCTGCCAAAAGACGGAGGGCTCCAGGAGGACGTTCCCTCCAGGCTGGGTCAGGTTCCCTTCCATCACTGCTAGTGGGACGTCTGGGAAAGAAGGGTATCTCTCCAGCCCTGGGAAGATGCCCTGTTGGCCGGCCTCATACAGACTCTGAATAAAGAGACGAAAGCTTCTGGAAGCTGCTTCTTTATAGCTCATGATCTTCATGAGCAGCTCGGCAGGGGTCAGCTCCCGGCCACCGTTGTTCTGAGCTGCCCATCGTTCGTACCACTCGAAGGCCTGCTCTGGGGGCCCGTCGCATTGCACGGGCCTCCACTGCCCACCGGTGCCGCACTGCGGGATGTAGATGCTGGCGAAGGTGGGCAGCAGGCTGGAGTCAGAGCCCAGAGCTCGCACTGTGCGCAGAAAGGCCTGCTCGGCCTGTAACTGACAGGCGGTGGGGCCTGGGAGGAACAAGGAGGAGGTATGTCAGGTAAAGAAGTGCGGGGAGCCCACGAGGCCAAGATGCAAACCCCTGACGGTCCAAGCCCCATCTGAAACCTTATACGGCCACAGAAATCCCATCAGCCTCAAATCTGTAAATAACATCTAGACAGAGTGCATCCCCGTCACTGAAACGGCACTGTTGAGACTGTTGTCTGCTCTGCAGAAACCTATGGGGCAGCCCCTGAAAAGCCAAATGAGTCTCCCTATTCAATCCCGGGAATGGTTAACAGTATCGACCCGCTTCTGGACAATCTTTACGTTAAGTGGCAGTTTTCGCCGCTGCAGAAGTCGGGGCTTACGCGACAATAGAATTCACTTTTTCCGTAATGCGCTGAGTCGGGGCCCCACAAATCAGGGTTTGTGGACTGAACACGCAACAGACTCACATTGCTTGGGTTCTCCAAGTACGCTTCGAGTTCCAGGAATAGGCTGACCCTCACGGTCAACGCAGTAACACTCAGAGCCGAAGCACTGGACGGGGAGGAAATGCCCCTCGCTGGTGCAAGAAGGGACCAACAGCCTGGACCCCGCGGGCTGGCTGCCCTCGAGGGTTTGCATGCGGGCCCTCTGCTTCTCACACTCTGTGGGACACCGGGGGCGTCCGCCTCTAACCCTGGAGCCAGAAAGTTCTTTGCCCCGGGAATCCACACACCAGCACTCCCCGGCAAAGCACTGCACGTCCTCGTAGTCTCCTTCCGCCGAGCACAGTGGGACGAAAAGGCTGCCCGGCGTCTGCCCGCAGCCCTGGGAGCTGAGCACCATTTCCATCACGTCACCTAAGTCCTTCGCTATGTCTTCGGGCACAGAAATGGCATGCTGCAAGAAGAGAGGGAATTCTGGAAGCTCCAGGAGAGACGCAAGGAATGCCAGGGCGTTCTGGTTCTCTTGTAAGTTGATCTCAAAGCCAAAGCTGCCCACCATCGGCCTGTTCCTAGCAGCTCCCTTCACAGAGGCTTCGGGGGGGTCTGCGGCAGGATTTGAATCCAGTCCCAAGGAGAAAGCCTTGGCAGCTAGGTCGGTCCCTCCGTTCTGGAAGCCCGGGAGACCAAACTGCCGGAAAAATTGACTGAAGTTAAATGTGCCTTTTGTGCCAAGGGCTCCAGACAAGTTGAACTGGCCAACATTCACCAAAAATTTCCCTCCAAAGAGGTTTTGCTGGAGTCGCTTTGGGTCCATGGTAAACTGAAGGGCAAGACGAGCCAGCTCTCGGGAGGGAAAAATCGCTCCAATGGCTTCTCTGAGGAGAGTTTCTGAGGCAGAAAACTGTTTACCCTGCCCTTCTCCCATCGGGTGGAGAATCCCAGAGTCCACAAAGAGCTCCTTCACCAAGGGCGGGCAGGATGTGGCAAATCTGGCTACTTTCTGGGAGACCCGTCTTCCCTCGGGAGCCAAGAACAAGCCGTGCTGGCTGAAATAGCCTGAGGGCCCAAAGTGTAGTCTAGACAGGGCCTGCCTCCTCTCAGAGGCGCAGGATTGGTCTTCAGCTGCACAAGACAGAGCAAACGGGAGAAATGGTTTTAACATCAACAAATACTCCTGAGACAACCCCCCAGATCCTTCTCGAAGTAAGATGTCCAACAGTTCAGTCAAGAACACCTACGTTTTGTACCTCTGTCTTCCCTGCCTTTTTATTTATTTTTTTCTTTCCCCCAAGCAGTGTCTGTGGCAGCCGTTTGGGGGAATGAATGTTCCAGGTGACGTGACTTCCCTTCCTACCTTTCACGGGAGGGTGACCCCCTTGTGAGTCAAGGCTCGTTGGTGCCCGCCCACTTTCGGAAAAGCTGACCAAATGCATGCCCCAGATGTACTGGGCTGAACGGTGTCCTCCCATCCTCCTCAAGCCCAATGTTCACGTCCACTGAGGACCTCAGAACATGACATCACTTGACAGTAGGGTCTTTGCCGGTGCTATCGGTTAAAATGAGGTCACACTGAACTGGGGCGAGCCCTAACTCCAATGATGGATGTGCTCGTAAGACGGCCACGTGAAGATGGGGTCGGAATGTCAAAAGAATGCCAAAAAAGAATACCAAAAGCCAAAGAAAGTCAAGGTCGCTGGAAGCCCCCGGAAACTGGACAGAACAAAGATACATCCTTCTCTAGAGCTTTCAGAGAGAGCCCAGCCCTGCTAAGACCTCAGTTATAGATGTCTGGCCTCTGGACTGGGAGGGGATAAATTTCTATCGGATGAAGCCACCGAGTTTGTGGTAATTTGTGACGGCAGCCCTCGGGAACTCATACACCAACAAATTCCTATTTGTTTTCGTTTTATTTTTTTAAACACATTTTTAATGTTTACTTATTTTTGAGAGATAAGAGAGACAGAGTGGGAATGGGAGAGGGGCAGAGAGAGAGGGAGACACAGAATCCGAAGCAGGCTCCAGGCTCCGAGCCGTCAGCACGCAGCCCGATGCGGGGCTCGAACCCACCACCGGCGAGATCATGACCCGAGTTGAAGTCAGTCGTTTAACCGACTGAGCCACCCAGGAACCCTATTTCCCATTTGTTTTGTAATGAAAAAAATTTTTTTCCAGCATTCTCTTGTTGGAATTTTTAATGGACTTTAATGCTTCATTATTTGCTCTTCGTGCGGCTGCCTAATCCCTCCTTGTGGGTAGGCTTGTCTAGGCTAACTAATTGATAGTCTCTTTGAAGATAAGAACCATACTTTAAATGCCATGAGTATTTCCTATAATAAGAAACATTTCCTAGGTTGTAATATCTAATATTATAACATACTATAGGAAATATATTTCCCAAAATATAATACAGTAATGTCTATGCAGCAAACACACTTAGCACATTTTTCTAGCCTTCCTGATCTTTCCTTGAAATTATTAATTAAAGGGTGATCAACTCAGTCAACTCCATGCCTGGTCAGGTCATTCAGTCTGAATATTCTAGTGGACAGTAATCACATTAAGAAAAAAGGCCTTAAATTCAAATTCCAAGTGTCTCTGTCACTCGGGTGGAATGAACTAGGCTCCACGTTTCTCTGTAAAACCATAAATCTCAGCAGTCCTTCTCAACCACCCACCCACCCACCGCCAACTTAATTCTTTTCCTTCGGTTCACGCGGATGCCAAAAAGGAAGTCAGCCAATTTCCCTCTGTCACCAGGCAACAGAGAAAGAACTGGAACTTGTAGTCGGAGAGAGAAAAAATACTGGCAACATCAGAACCCGTAACACATTCCTCAACCAGGCATGGCTTCCTTGAATGGAAGGTATTACAGGAAGGTATGGAAGAAATAAAGTTCACTGCTGTGCTTATTCTGTTTCGACATGGAGAGCATATCCCTTCCGTTCATTTGTTATGTTGTGTTACCAGGGCAAAAAGAAAAAAATGCAGATCTCAGCTCCATGTGGCATTCGTTTCCACGGAAATAGGACTGATACGCCAGAGAGGAAAAAATAAAAATATATGATGCACGCATTTGGTAGCATTCTGGTTTTAATTTGGAAAACCATAGTTCTTTGTGTCCACCTGGAAACTGGAGGGCACCATACTCTCTAGGTTTTAAGACAACGACAATGTAATCATAAATACCCTCAGGGCAGCGCTTGAAATTTTTCTTCTTCTAGATTCCCACGCTTAGTAGACTGAATACTACCAAATGCCGAGCAGAATACTCAAAACGTGAAGCTGGAGAAATCGATGACTTAACAGGAATTACTGAATGAACACGAATGCTCATCTGTGTCAAGGCTATAAAAAGACCTGCCCTCCTCCTTCACTGAGACCTTGCGGGATCCATCCAGCTCACCCAAGTGGGAAGCCTACAAGCGCTCCTGGATTTCTCCATCCCCCTCACCCCTTACTCCCTTCAGGGTCTCAGTGGTAAAATGGAATGGCCTCACTGGAGGGCCTTGTGACGTTTCGCAAGTCCACACCCTTCTCCCCAGACCACTGCTGCTACTTCAGTGTTGGTCCCTGTACCAAGTTGAATCGGGTCTCCTCAAAATGCACATCCTTCCTGGAAACCTCAGAATGTGACCTTATTCAGAAATAGGGTCACTGGAGACATAATTAGTTAAGGCGAGGTCATACTAGGGTAGAGCGGGCTCTTAAGTTTATATTACCGGTGTCGTCGTAGGAAGAGAGGAAGAGACACAGAGGCAGACACAGAGGGAAGACAGCCATGTGACGACAGAGGCAGAATTTGGGGCCACGTTGCCACAAACCAAGGAATGCCAAAGATTGTCGGCAACTATCACAAGCCAGGAAAAAGGCCAGGAGGCCTTTTTCTTATTCTGCCCTGGAGCCTTCAGAGAGGGAACATGAGCCCAGTGACACTTTGACTTCGGACTTCTAGGCTCCAGAACTATTGTTCTAAGCCCCTGAATTTGCGCTCATTCGTCACAGCAGCTCCAGGAAAGTAATATAGTCCCCTCATCTCTCTTCAGGACATTGCAATGACCTTCAAATTGGCCCCGTGGCCTGCAGTCTAACACTGATTTCAAGCTCTCCTTCAAAGTGCCCGGGTGGTCTTTCTTACACACAGAACCCACCATGGAACTCTCCAGCGTAAAACCCCTCAACGTCACCACCTGGCCTCCAGGAAGAAGTCCCCAAGCCTTTGCTTCGGTACGAAAGACCTCACTGTCTCATCCCCGCCATTTTCCCCCAGTCCTGTAGTGCAGAGCCCCACCCTGACCACACTCAGCAATTTATTTCTCTACTCTTCTTGAAGATTCGGTGCCCAGTAGCAGAGCAATGCCTATCATTTATGTTCTTATACTTCCCTGCTCCATAGATAGAGAACACCTCTCCTTACTTTCCTCCTTCAGAAAACGTCGTTATCTTAGAAGACTCTAACCAAGCGTCACCTCTTCCATGAAGCCTTCCTGAATGTCTCCTCTTCATACACCTTCACAAGATCGAATTGACCCTACCCTGCTCTGCGATGCTTCTCTCGTGGCACAAGTAAACAAAATTCTGTTTTTCCTTCACCTGTGAGGCCCCCCAATATCCCCTGGGCTCGCTGAGGAAGGAATCGACCACGTCTGACACAGGATGAGAAACACGTCGGAAGTTAATGGCGGTAAGTGGGTTTTCCACCGTGGTGGGCTCGAAGGGCCTCTGGGTACGCTCAGGAGGCAGTGGAATTCACGGGTTCTGGAGCGGCTGGTCTGGAGAAACAGTTAAAGTAATATGACCCGACGGGAGCAAAAGAGGAGGCTGTCGAGAGGCAACCCACCGCACGATGGCCGCTCCCCTTGCCGCCGAGTTCCATGGATCTCCTTTCCTTGGGCGTCCACACACCAGCACGGCCCTGCCCGCTGGCACTGCACCGCCTCGTAGTCCCCGCTCCGGCGGCAGCTGGGAACGTAGGGGTGACCAAAGCTGGTCGCTGTGAACCGCTCCATTTCGCATTTTGTGGGGCCTAGGGCAGAGCCACGCGGGAAAAGGAGAGGACAGTGTGTGAACAGGGCTATGGTCTTTCCAGCATGCACTCTGTGTGCTTTCACAACGTTGTAAATCCTCAGGGCGCCTGGGTGGCTCGGCCGGTTAAGCAGCCGACTCTTGATTCCGGCTCAGGTCGTGAGTTTGAGCCCCGCACCCGGCTCTGCACTCACAGCGAGGAGCCTGCTTGAGATTCTCTCTCCCCCTCTGTCTCTGCCTCTCCCCTGCTTGTGTGCACGCTCTCTCTGTCTCTCAAATTAAAAAAAAAACCCGCCCTGGTTTTAGATCCTTGCACCCACTTAGGCAAAACAGCCACAGAGACCGCAGCAACTTTAAAACCCAGCGGTTTCTTCCAAGCAGAAACACGCACGTCTGCTGTCGGCTTATTACTTACATCGGAACCGGCCAGAGATGAGGAGCTGAACCGCTAGGAACCGTCTCTGCAATATCCGGTACAGGGTGGTTTCAGTGAAGGTGGAAGCGAGGTCCAGGCCAGCAAAGATGGTGTCATAAATTTCGTCAAGCAACAGCTCCAGACCTGAGCAAAGGCAGAAGCGTTTCAAGGGACGGGTTCGTTCCGAAAGGCAAGTCCTGACTCTGCTGTTCAAACAGACCTCAGGAGGCCCAGAGCCTTCCTGGGCATCGTAGGCATCGGGCCTGATCAAGGTTTTAATAGTGTCCAAAGTCAAGGCTGCCCTGTACGGTTGTGCAGGTTGTTCACGGCACAAAGGAGCACTGCGAAGAGGAAAGCCATTCTGTCCTCCACTCTCCAGGTTGGGAGCTGCATCTGCCCAGAGTGGGGCGCCTCTTTCCAGTGCGCACAGAGGCTCCACATGGGCCAGCAGCTGTGTCCAAGGCACCAGAGATGAGCATTTGCAAACTGTGCGGCTTAGCCGGGGAGCAGCCAGACGCTGCTCTTTCTGCTTGGCAGGTAACGATATTCAGGCTTTCGGGTTTGGGAGGTGCCTCTCACCCACCCCCCTCAGTTTGCCTGAGGTGCGCTTACCTGTCTCAGCCAGTTCCCGCCCTTGACTGTCAGCACAGTGACAATACCCAGACACTTCAGGGAACTTGTTCCGGAAGGCACTGAAGGTCACGAATGCATCTGGAAACCTAGGAGAGAAGGAGATGTCTGCTCCCTGCTTCATCAAATCCTCACGAGCGCCGCTCACAGAAATAAATAAACGTGGCCTCATCTCATCTGGGGAGAAGGAATGTCTGCTTTTTTATCTCATGCCATTTGCTCTCTGTTTCTTGCAGGAAATGTGTTTCTTTTCTCAACCGGGTTTTCACCTGGCCCGAGCTCGGCTGGACAGATGAAAAACAAAGCTGTGCTCAGCTGTTACCTGCTCACTAGTCATTTCCCTCACATGTGGCATTTCACCAACACACCCACGCGTGTGTCTCACGGGGTCAGGCAGAAAACAGGTAATGAACGGCGCATGACCGGAGCGTAACTTTACTAGACTGTAACTCGAGGGACCAAAAGCCAAGTTGGCTTTACAAACATATGGTACATTGTGGATGATCTCATCGGGGGAGATCAAACAACTTCAGGGCCCTTTATGACTTTTCCAGAGCTTGAAAAGAAGCCAGATTCCACCCTAGGAAATTCTTAAGGACATTTCCCGCTCCATAGTTGAGAAAAACAACACAGAACCAATATGACGCCACTACAAGGGCTATGCGTGCCTCTCCATACGTGCGGGGAGAGTGTGCCCAAGCCACGTCTGACCTGGCAGGTTTCATAAGGAGCTAATTCGCTGGGTTCCCCATCCTGGAAGATGAAACTGAGGTGACATGAAACTTTATTAAAGAGTTCTTCCCGTGTGCAGTGATTAAGCAACCGGAGAGGCGCTTTTCGTTGTTAGGCGACATTGAGAGATTCGTTTCCGTGCCCTGGGGGGTTGGCACACCTACCTATGTCTGGAAATACATCCCCAAACAATGAGTTCGCGAAAGCGGCAGCTCTCTGCACAAACAGATCCATTGCTGTGTGATCCGTTCCAGCAAAATACTGAAAACAAGCTCAGTGTCCGACGATAGGAAAATGAAGAAGCAAATTATAGTAAATTTCCTAAATGGACGCACGCGTAACACTCCGCGAAGACGGCAGCTTGCAAAATGGCCTGTACATACACCACAACGACCTCAACGGAAATGAAGCAGCATTGGAAGGCAACAGGCAACCCAGGAATCACTCAGAGCCTGAACGGGGGGCGTAGAAGGTCCTAGCTAATTTGCATGGCAATGAATAGGCAACAAGCTTACAAGAGCACTGTGAGGTTATGGATTGTTTTCTCCGTGCCTTTGATCATTGTGTATCTATAAGCTAAATAAAAAGGGGTGTTGTAGTAAGTGAATTCTGCGTAACAGAAACTAAAACCTCCCTTCACCCAGTCGTCACGGATTAGAGGTATATAATAAAAACAAAAAATGAATCGAAACCTGAGATAATTCATTCTCTCTCTTTTTTGACATTTATTTATTTTTGAGAGAGAGAGAGAGACGGAGTGTGAGCAGGGGAAGGGCAGAGAGCGAGGGAGAGACATAATCCAAAGCAATGTCCAGGCTCTGAGCTGGCAGCACAGAGCCCGACGCAGGGCTCGAACCCACCAACCGCGAGATCATGACCTGAGCCGAAGTCGGATGCTTAACCCACTGAGCCACCCAGGTGTCCCTGGGGTAATTCAATTCTAAGAGAGGTGACAGTAGTATAATAATCACTTCCATTCGTTGCACACTATCTTGTAAAAGACAACCTGCCAAATGTTTACTACATATTGACTTGTTTAACCCACTTAACACTCCTAAAAGGCAGGTGGACTTTTTTGGTACCCATTTTAGAGGTTAAGAAAGTAAAGTATGCTGGCCACCATCTTGAAATAGCGGTGGGAGACAGACTGCAAACCCAGGTCTTACGCCCCACGTGATGCCTCTGTCTGCCAGTGGTGTTCTTCACTGGGTGTTGGCTACACCTGGTTCCCGTCGCACATTCTCAGAGGCACACGACTCTTCTTGTGTTCGGACACTCTCCCCTGTGTGCCCTTTCCCAATAGCTAATAGATGTGGAACACACACGCGCTGGAGAACACAGGAATGGGCCACCTGGCTGGCCCCGGGTTCTGAACCCGTAACAACAGGGGACACGGGAGGTTCCAGTCACTCTAGTCCCGCGTTCTGCCAATTCACCCCAAAGGCCCTCTTCAGCGTCATGTCCCGGGGCCGGTGCCAGCAGAAGGAATTCTGAGCCTTCTTCATCCCACTACTTTGGGGGCAGAGTCCTCCTCCCTCGGTTTCCGGCCTTAGAAGCTACCCACTTCCTGGACCTCCATGTGCTTTTTGCATGGACCTCACGGTCGCTGTCCCAGCTTCTTGCATACTGGAGATCACTGTGGCTTTAGCTGGAGGGCGTCCTCCCAGGAAACCCCCCTGCACCATCGCCTGTAACCCCTCCTTGCCAATTCTGCGTGCACTGAAAAGAGTCCAGAGCTCCGGCCTTGGCCTAGCCACATGTGGTCACTGCCGTTAACCACTACGAATGAAAATAATAACGGGGGGGAACGTACTGGATGACCCAACACTGCACCAAGCACCCTCTTCACTCCTTCTCAGTCCTCACGACAACACTTAGAAAGCTGCACTTTGCAAACGAGAACGCTGGCCCTCGGAGTGGTGAACAGACTGGTTTAAGATCACCCAGCCCAGACCCGGGGGTGGACGTCCGCAGCTGGCGGGAAGGGGGGCTGCCTCTGAAACGGAGCCTGGTCCTCAGGGGACCCCGCCCCACACCCAATGGGAAGTTCAAGCTCTGAATCTTCCTCGATCTCCTTAGTTCCCAAAGTCAGATTTGATACAATCTGATTTTTGTGGCTGATCTCTGAAACGGTACCACCGCCGTGAATTTTGGACTCTTCCCCCAGGGTAGCAGGTGACGGCGTAGAGGGTGGCTTTGTAGCTGCTTCCGCTATCGTCACTGGTGCTTTCTGGGCAGCCAGGACGGGAGGGCCTTGGCCGTGCTTCCCACCTCCTGCTCATTGGATTCCCAACCCTTCTCTGCCACCCCAGCAGAAGTCCAGCCATTAACACTGAACCCGAGGTCCACGGGAAAGGGAGAAAGGTCCCATCCTCACACATGGGCCAGCTAGGTTTGGAACCTGCTGTAAGGCCAAAGAAGGCTCCAGAGGATGTGAGCCTTGAGTGGGATTGCAAAGCTAAGAACGATGAATTGACAAGGAGAGAATGGAGAACACGTCTACAAGGATCTTTAGCCCGTCTCCAACTCCAAAGTGGGGGCAGAGGACAGTGTGGGCGGAAGGATTAGCTGAGAGGCTGGTAGTCACCGGGGCAGCGGGGGGCCACAGATCTGGAGGAGAATGTCGGAACCCAAGCATCTCTGTCATGGACACACCATTCCTGAACGTGCCCTGCCCACTCCCCTTCTGGGCACGGGGCTAAGGAAACTGACTGTCCTGTCTGTCTCTGTCCGGTCAAGTCACGGAGGACCCTACGGCACACGGCATCACCCCCTTTTATGAGGATCCGAAAAAGCTTTGCCCATCTTGAATAGAAGAACAGATTGTGTTCTTCTGAAAAACAGGTTTCCTTTTATCTGGCAGAAACCAAATAACTTAGACTGTTTTCTCTTGCTCTGGTTCTAAGGCTCCCAGACATAAGTAAGCAGCCGCTCATACCTGTGATAAGAATACTTTATAGAATGAACCGTATGTGCAACCTTTGCCTTGGCTCCTTCGTACGTTCTACTCTGATTTTGCCTTCCCTACAATTTCCTCTCTCTTCCTTTTCTCTCCCGTTCTGGGCGTGTCAGAAGAAAAGAGGAAGCGAAAATCAACACAGAGCTTGAAAACCAAAAAGGACATATTTCACCTAGTGAAAAAGGATGTGCCCTTTTTGTTGAATAAAAAGGAACAGCTCAGAATGATCGTAAGAAAGTGTTCAAGGGAGAAAATTGTAGCGTGGGGGGGGGGGGGGGGGGGGGG